GTGTATTTTTGTGCATGTTTTCAATTTGATCCCATAGAGTCTCACCTCAAAACAATTAAGCGTATTTTCATATATCTTATTGGAATTACTAACCTAAGTCTTTTTAATGAGAAAAATAAAGATTTTCAAATTGGTAAGATACTATGATGTAAACTATGTTGGTGATAAAGTTGAAAAAAATAAAAAACACAAGTGGAGGGTGTCATTTTTTGGGTCCTTATCTCATTTCTTAGGCAAGCAAAAAAGAAAAACTCCATGCACTTTCTATGACAGAAGTTGAATACATCTCAGTTGCTAGTTGTTGTTCACAACTACTATGGATAAAGTATCAATTAGAAGACTATTGTAATCTTAAGCATAACATACCTGTATTATGTGATAACACTGTGTCATTAATCTGGCAAAAAATTTCATACAATATTCTAAAGCTAAGTATATTGAAATAAGATATCACTTCATTCATGATTATATACAAAAAGGATTTTTTGACATAAAATTTATTGATATTGATCATTAATGAGATTGTAACACCCCGATTTTTATAAAATTATATTAATAATACATAGTATTTATTTTAATGTTTTAATGTGTTTATTAGAAGGATTTTTAATATTATTTAGATATTTGATATGAACTTTATTTTTATATAAAACATATGCTATTTTTACTAAAAAGGAGAAATATATTTTATATTATTTATCTATTTTATGTGAGCTCTATTTTATATAAAAATGATTTTTAATTAATATTTGGATTATTTGCTATAAGACTATTTTTTATGAAAATATGTTTTTAATTATCAAGAATTATGGAAAATATATTTTATCAAGAATTATGTTTATGTTATTTATTAAAAGAAGGAAATATGTTTAATTATTTCATGAGAAGGGAAGGAGGGATGTAGTGGTCTTTTGCTAATTATTATTATTATTATTATTTATTTTTATTATTTTTAAGAAAGGAGGTTGTTAGGAGTTATTTTCACGCTTCTCACTTTGTCTTTCTTTTCTATGCTCTGAAGACTCAAGAGAACCATGAGGAGGTCACCGGGGAACCGACACGCTTCATCTTATACTCATCAAGGTAAGGGGGAGTGAGAAACCTTACTCGAGGCGTGGAAATAATTGTTGGGTAGTTGGATTGGCCTCCAATCCTTTGCCTGATGTATACGTATAGGAATAAACACTTTATAAAAGCTTTCTATTTTATTTTCTAATTTTTCTATTACGTTCCTTGTGTGATTTTGAGTGTGAATATGTGTTCAATTTCAATAATGGATATGTTTGGTAGCGAGATTGGCCTCAACCCCTTGCGTGATGCATGCTCTTAGAAATAGACATTTTTTGAATGTTTTCTATTTTCATGTTTGAGTTTTCTGTTATATTCCTTGATGGTTGCTGAATGTGATTATGCAATTAATTTCAAAAATAGACTAGTTTTAATATGAATTAGAGTACTTTATGGGATCCTATGGAAACCCTATGAGAAACAGACAAATTTTGAATATTTTCTATTTTGGCTTCTGATTTTTCTGTTGTTTTCCCTGATGATTATTGAGCATGAATATATGTTTAATGTTTAGTTTGGATATGTTTTGATATGAATTAGAGTGCTCTATGGATTCCTATGGGAAACCCTATGAGAAACAAACAAATTTCAAATGTTTTCTATTTTGGCTTCTGAGTTTTTTGTTGTATTCTTTGATGTTTTGCAAAGTGTGAATATGTGTTTAATTTTGAAAATAGATAAGTTTTGATATGAATTAGGGTACTCTATGGGTTCATGTGGGAAACAAACAGTTAATTTTGAAAACAGATAAGTTTTAAGCTATATTTGAAGGTGCTAATGGTGTGAAAACTGTCTTATTGTGGTGTTGATGCAAGTGGTGTATTTTTATGAGCATGATGAGGATGAGAATCTCTTATATGTGTGACCTTGTGACTATGAATATGATAATGTGATATGAGAATAAGTGACATGATGAGATATGACAAGTGAAATGTTGAGTCCATGAACATGTGAATGTGTGACATGCATCATATGCATCTATGTGATGAGATACAATATGGAGTACATCATTAGGGAAGGCCCTTCAGGTGAAACATCTCGGAGGAGTCCAAGGGGATAGCGCGGTTTGGAAGGCCTAGCCCGTTTGTGTGCATGGGACGTATCTTGCGCAACTTCACTATCTCAACGAGACCCTAGCAGTACATCCTTCTAGTTGAGAGTGCACGGTTGAGTCGACATGTACTCCTAGACTACTCCAGGTATGTTTCTTCAACAACATACCACGTGATATGGGATGAGATATATGATTGGCGCCACATGCAAGCATTTATGAGTCAAGTCCATGGCATCATTGCATGATAAGTGATTGTGCATGTGTTACTATTTTATCTATGACTTGTATGTGTGCCTTGTTTGTGATTGCTTTGTGTGTGTTTTATCTGATAGTTGTTTTTTTACCCGAACCCGAGTGAGATGTTTCTCATCCCCTATTTGTTTGTATATGTTTAAAATTGAATTGCAGGTGATCATCAGTAGGAGGATGTTAGTGATGAAGCTCAGGCTTCTATATTGAGCGTGCTCTGATTAGGATATGTGACACCAGGAGATAGAATAGGATGTCGTTTATTACTTTATAAATTGGATTACTTATATGTTATTTCGTTCATTAATTATAATTAAGTTGTATATTTACTTAAGTTATTTTGATAATTGAATTACTTCCCTATGAAAGTGTTTTAAGATGTGAATATGAGCCTCTTACCCTTATGTTATTTGAGATGTAGTTCTAATTACAAATGTTTTTGTATACTCTTATTATTTTATATAATTGTATATTTATGTGTGGGGTAGAGGGTGTCACAAGGATGATATCTTTATTAAAACTCTAGCTGAAGAACTGTGACACCCTCTACCCCATCATTAATATACAATAAATGTAAACAATAATAATTTTTTTTTTCTTTTTGAGAGAATAAAATCTTTCATAGTTGACAATTTCTTTTATGGATAAAATAATTGTCGCAAATATCATAAGGTAGAAGATTCACATTCGTAACTCATAAGTCATGTAACTATCCAAATTCAAGAAATCATATAAAAAAAATATAGATTAATTCCAGCAAAGGTGGCAGTGCCTCCTAGTTAGGAATTAATTTATAACTTTCAAATCGTGTAATAAAAATAATATGACAAAGATGAGCATTTTAGTCTTTTATCAAGAACGTTCAAAATTACAAAAGAAAAGAAAAGACTTTTAAAAACAATAATATCCCAAACTAAGTTTAGCTATGCCCGATGTCACATCCTATCAGAGCATGCCCAACTGAACCCTTAAGCATCATCACCAACATCCTCATGATGATGATCACCTGTAACATAATTTAAACACATACAAAAGCAACAAGGGAGTGAGAAACATCTCACTCAGTTTCAGGTGAAGAAATAAAGGTTAGATAGCACACACACACACAACAAATATAAGTCACATGGAAACAACATACACAATCAATATTACATGTACACTCATTTATCATGCAACGATATCATGGACTCGACTCATAAATGCATGCATGTGGCGCCATAAGGAAATTTCACAATTCATCACTGGTGACCCTAAGGTACACCTGGTTACATCATTGGTGACCCTAAGGTACACCTTGTTAGCTTGTTACATCACTGGTGACCCTAAGGTACACCTTGTTAGCATCACTGGTATGCGGCCTCAGCGGCACACCTGGAGTAATATATGCATATGATGCATGTCATACAGTCATTATTTCATTGACTCAACATTTGACTTATTACAGAATTTTATTTAGTACATCATGTCATCATTTTTCATATTCTTATAATCACAGCTTGTCTCAATAGTCCATTCTTAGGTCTCATGTCATTTGTCCATATTTCACATGGTCATGTCATAAATACTCCTCATAAGGTCTGCACAGGAATTCACAGAGATCCACAGAAAACATTCTTATTCATATTAAAACTCATTTATTTTTAACATTAATTCCATATTCATTTATTACTTCCAACAAGGCACAAAGTAGAGCAAACAAAAAATAGAACAGAACAACAGGCAAGGGATTGGGAGCCAATTCGATAATCAAACTATCCAACAATTGTCCCCACACCCCCGAGCGAGGTTTCTCACTCCCCCCTTACCTGGATAAGCAGGAGCTAGAACTTGGTCAGGACCTCCTCCTCTGGATTCTCTCTTTCTTTCCCTCTCTTTCTTTCTCTTTTTCTCTCTCTCTCTCTTTCTCTCTCTCTCTCTTAAATTTTTCACTTCTCACTCAGTTATAATTTTTCACCCCCCTACCTCCTATTTATAGGCATCCTGGTGTACCCGGAATGACCCGTGTTGCATTCGGAATGGCCCGTTCCGGATCCTACGAAGGTATGCAAAATTTTCAGCTGGAACGGCCCGTTCTAAAATCAGAACGGCCCGTTTTCAAAAAGAAGAACGGCCCGTTCTAAAATTAGAACGGCCTGTTCTAGAGTCCATGTGAACACACATTGACTATTATTGGAACGCCCAGTTTCTACCTAAACTTTTTAGGCCATTTTCGAATCTTGGAATGGCCCGTTTCACTCTGGGAACGGACCATTCCAAAAAAACCCAAATAGGCTTTTTTATTACTTTGGAACGGCCCGTTCCACTTTTGGAACGGCCCGTTCCACTTTTGGAACGGCCCGTTCTGCTGCTTCAAAAAATAGTATATTTTTTTGTTTGGAACGTCCCGTTCCACTTTTGGAACAGCCCGTTCTAGCATAAAAGACAGAATTTTATAAAAATTCATAAATAATTTAAATTATTAAAAACCTTTACAATATTTTATAAAAACCCCTTTTAATTAACTAAATAAATATATGAAAATAAATAATAATCAACATTTGTATTAGTAGAAAATTCGGGGTGTTACAATTCTCCCCTCCTTTTAGAAATTTCGTCCCCGAAATTTACCTGAAAACAGAAATGGATAAGCTTATCGCATCTTGCTTTCTAATTCCCATGTAGCACTTTCTTCAAAATTTCCTCCCCAAACGATCTTAACCAAAGGGATTTCCTTTCCTCTCAGTTGTTTCACCCTCGTGTCATCAATCCTTAAAGGAATCGTTTCATAGATAAGATTATCCTTCAATTGAATGTTGTCAGACTCAATGATATGGGAAGGATCATGGACATACTTTCTGAGTTGGGAAACATGAAAGACACTATAGAGATTTGAAAGAGATGGAGGCAAGGCAATTTGATAGGCTACTTCACCGATTCTTTTAAGAATTTGATAAGGACCAATGAAACGTGGAGTAAGTTTACGAGATTTCAGTGCTCTGCCTACTCCTGTCCAAGGAGTGACTTTAAGATGCAAGCCCTCAACAAGTCTTCCAAAGCCTTATGCAAAGATTGTATGGTTCTCAGTTTGGCCATCTGTTTGAGGACGGTAGGCTGAACTCAATCTAAGCTTAGTGCCTAAAGTCTTAGGGTGCCTATATTTTATGGTGATGTTGTTGATGGCTCTACAGGTTCAACACATTCTCCAATTTCCATCTTTTTTTGGCACCAAAATGACAGGCACAACACAAGGGCTTAGACTCTTTTGAATCCAACCCTTCTCCAACAACTCTTGTACTTGCTTCTCTATCTCTTTGGTCTATTGTGGGTTGGTCCTATAGGCTGGTCTATTTGGAAGGCTAGCCCCAGGCACAAGATCTATTTGATGCTCTATTCCCCTAAAAGGTGAAAGTCCCATTGGGCCTTCACTAGGAAATATATCATCAAATTCTTTCAAAAGAATTTTGACCTCAAAAGGTAGAGAAGTTTCCAAAGAAGGTGTGGCAGTGCATGTGAGTGTTCCTCTACACATGAGGATATGAGATGATGGTGCAAGAAAGAGAGAGGTTTTGTGTAAAGGTTTTGAATCAAAAGTCTCTTCTTGAACTATCTCTAGAGAGGGAACACTAGTCTCTCTAGAATCCTCTTTTTCCCTAATTTTTAGAAGTTTTTTTATTTCAACCTTTTTTTGTTTTTCTTTTTCTTGCTCACATTTGGTCTTCATTTGTACTTGATCTTCCATCACTTGGGAAGGTGATAAAGGATGAAGCACAAACTTTTTACCCTTGTGAGTGAAAGTTATTTTATTAGTTAGGCCATCATGATGAGTTTGTTTATCAAATTGCCATGGCCTACCTAATAAAATATGACAAGCCT